GATAGATAGATAGATAGATAGATAGATAGATAGATAGATAGATAGATTGATAGATAGATAGATAGATAGATAGATAGATAGATAGATAGATAGATAGATTGATAGATAGATAGATAGATAGATAGATAGATAGATAGATAGGTAGATAGATAGATAGATAGTAAAAATGAAGTAGACAGACAGTGGGATAGTGAGAGTTAGAGAGAGAGAGAAAGAGATGGAGAGAGAGACTGAAAGAGAGAAAGAGTGTGTGTGTATGTGTGTGTGTATGTGTGTGCGTGTGTGTGCGTGCATATGTGTGTAAGAGAGAGAGAGAGAAAGAGGGAGAGAGAGAGAGAGAGAGAGAGAGAGAGAGAGAGAGAGAGAGAGAGAGAGATGGAATAGGGAATGAAAGTAGGGTGGTGGGGGAGGGGGGTGGGAGGTGGACAGGACGTGGTATACACAGACGAAGACAGGAAAAGAGATGAACACTTCAAAGCTTAACACATGCATTTACTCACACAAGACGTTTGAGTTCGTTTACGCTCTAGCACCTGCAGCTGTCGATAAAACCGCCGGACCGAAATGTTAGTATATTGGGATACATTTCAGAGTGCTTTTGGCAAACGAGCAAGTACTTTAGCTAACATCTCACAATGACAAAATCTTTGTTGAAACAGGTTTTTTTGGTTGCTCTGAACTGTTTTGCTTTGTCCAAACGTTTCTGTAACACTCCTGAAAAAAATTATAATAAATGTTCAGGCTATTCTTTGAATTTTTAAGGTCCAGTTGTGTTAGTGAAGCTTGAAATGATAGATCTAATGAAGTTGATAACTAACTTTTTGTAATTTTGTGCATGGAGTATAATATAATATGTAAATAACATAGTCGTACTGTGTACTAGGTTTCGACTCCCTGATACCGGGTGACCATTACGGGTCGGGTCGGGTCGGTTCGGGTCGGGTCGGTTCGTTTCGGGTCGGGTCGATCGCTCGACTTGTCGACGTGTTTGGCGCGATTGGCTTGTGCCACGATAGCCGCTTTGCGCCCTCAATCTAGCTAGCAAACCGCCCTGACCCGACCCCCCAATGGGCATCCCGTATAAAGATACCGCAGGGTCAGCTGAGACGTCAGACCAGTGATTCTCTATACGGTACACGATCTTTGGTCAGACAACCCAAACATCGTCCAGCCATTTATAAGCATCAGAATCATGTCCACCCACCGAAGAAATTCTAGAAAGAGGGTCACTCCCCCTCAGGCGTCTCCGGTTTTG